ATTAGTAATGAGCTTGAAGCTCTTTAAGTACATCCAAGAAGGGGAGGGAATGGATGGGGAAGGGAATCGGGGGCAATCCCTAGGGATTGGGGGTAATCCCAAGGCAATCTCCAATTGGTGGGTTGGAGATTGCTTGGAGATTACATTTGGGTTTGGTTGGGATGTAGGTGTACACCCAACCAAACACAATGTGCAAACTACACTACTCTAGGATATAGAAAATACAAAGTACAAAGTGTGAGATTGAAGGCTAACACTAACACCCCCCCATAGGCGTCAATCGAACTCAGGGACGAGAGGGTGGTGCACAGAGCCCCATGGCGCCTAGGAGATGGTGGTGGGGATCTTTCCCAAGGGGCTTGGTGAACAAATCAGCCAGGTTGCAGTCAGATGCAACGTATTCCACTTTCAGTTGCTCCTGTTGGACAAGGTCACGGATGAAGAAGTGCCGGGGTTCAATATGCTTGGTGCGGGTGTGATACACAGGGTCTTGAGAGATGTGGATGGTACTCTGGTTGTCACACCAGAGGGTGGGGGCGGACTGTGGGAACAAGCTCCTGGAGTAGGAAGGTGAGCCAACGGGCCTCCTGAGCAGCCATGGTGCCTGCGTAGAGCTGTGCCTCACAGGAGGAGAGGGAGACTGCAGACGACCTGGTGGAGCGCCAACTGACAGTTCGGCTCCCAAGGGTGAAGCAGTACTTCTGAGAGGAGCGTCGGTCGGTCTGGTCATCAGCCCAGGAGGAGTCGGTGTAACCTTCCAGGCGAGGAGGGGAGAGCCCACCGAGTGTGAGGACGTGAGACTAGGTGCCCTGAAGATAGCGCAGCACCCTCTTCGCCGCCTTCCAGTGAAGATCAGTGAAGCGTCCAGGGGCCACGTAGTGAGAGAGGACACTGACAGGATAGGCCAAGTCTGGTCGGGTGCACATCATGGCGTATATGAGGGACCCAACAAGCTCCGGGTATGGCTCAGAGCAGGCCTCTGGTGTGGGTACAGCTGGGGCTGTGAGGAGGTGTTGCAGCGGCAGCGGGGTGGCAACAGGTGTGCACAGCTCCATCTCAAACCGCTTGAGCACATTGTCGATGTAGAACTCCTGGGACAGTGAAATGGTGTGAGCCTGGCGATCACGAGTGATCTCCATCCCCAGGTAGTGCTTGAGGTCACCGAGGTCTTTCATCTGGAGGGCCTTGCTCAGGGCTGCCTGGACAGAGGTCATCTGGGCCAAGTCCTTGGCAACGAGGATGAAATCATCCACGTAGACCAGGATGTAGAATGACTCAGAATGACGGCGGATGAAGAGAGTCGGGTCAGCAGTTGAGGGGTGGAAGTCCAGGGAGAGAAGGACTTCTTTCACCTTGTTGTGCCATTCGCGAGGGGCTTGCTTAAGGCCGTAGACGGGGCGATTCAGCTTCCAGACAGTGTTGGGAGGAAATTCTCCTGGGAAGCCTTCTGGTCTGTCCATGAACAATGTCTCCTTGAGACGTCCTTGTAGGAAAGCGGATGAGGCATCCATGGATTTGATCTCAAAGTTTTCTCGAGCTGCGACATCCATGAGCGTACGAATGGTGAAAGGTTTGGATGTGGGGGAGAAGGTAAGGAAGAATTCGCGGTACTGCTGCTGGGTGAAGCCCTTGGCTACGTAGCGCGCTTTGAACTCCGGGGCCTCGTCTGGGAGCTGTTTTACACGGAACAACCACTTGCCCCCCACGATGTTGACTCCTGGAGGTGGAGTCTCGTCGTCGAAGGAGTGGTTGCGAGTGAATGCTGCAATATCCGCGTCCATGGCAGCACGCCATTCGGCAGCATGAGGCCCTGAGAGAGCCTCTTGGACGGTGAGAGGGATGGGGATGGTCGGGTTCTCCGCGAAGTTGAGGGAGGGTGAGTCAGTGATGTCGGGGAAGATGTGCGAGAGCTGAGGAATGACTGCATGAAGATCACACAGCTCCTCATGCCTGTCTTCCAGAAGGGTAGAGGGCACATCCCCCCCAGCAGGAGGAGGCGGTGTGATCGCCGTGTATCGAAGAACCAGCGCTAGTGGAAGAGCAGCGCCATGCAAACGAGTGCCATGAGGCAACCGGAGAAGAGGGTGGGGCAGGCGGAGTCGAGGGGGTGGACTTAGGAGGCTTGGGCCGGGGAATGGGCCGCCGGTGATACGGGATCAGCTCGGGCGACAGTGGGAGAGCGGGTTCCTCTGTGGTGGCGGGAACCGGGGGAGGAGGTGGGGCCGGAGGGTAGGACCGCCGATGGTAGGTGATAGGTGCGCTCGGAGGTGGCTGCACAGTCGGCGGAGTGGGAAGTGAGGGGGATGGATGAACAGCTGCCGAGGACACCGGTGAGGGCGGGTCAGAGACCTTAGAGGGGGACGATGCGGTGGCAGGAGGGGTAGGAGGTGAAGGGGCCGGAGCAGGCGGGAGGTCAGGAGGCGTATCAAAGTTTGCCCACACGAGGGAGGGTGGATCAGGGAGAGAGTCCCGTCCCGAAGTGGAGTAGAATGGGCGGGTCTCATCAAAGACAACGTCGCAGCTCCGGACCAATTGTTGAGTGGAGGGATTGAGGAAGAGGTAGTCAGGCGAGTCGGCGTTGTGCCCGAGGTAGATGCATGTCTGGGTCTTGGGACCGAGCTTGCCGCCGTGCTGCCGTCGAGCCTGAGGGTTGAGGAGGACATAGGCGGTGCACCCCCAAACGCGAAGAGAGCGAGCACTGGGCGTTTTCCCGAGCCAGAGTGTGGTTGGAGTGGTGTCGGGAAGATGCGGGTGGGGGTAAAGGTTGTAGAGGAGGGCGGCGTGGTAGAGAGCGTACCCCCAGAGAGAGTGCGGAGCGTTGGAGTGGCTGAGGAAGCACCGAGTGATCTGCACCAGGGTGTGTTTGCGGCTCTCAGATATGCCGTTCTGCTGCGGGCTGTCAGGGAGGGTGAAGTTTTGCTGGATGCCTTCTGAGGAGGAGAAGGCTTTGAGCTTGTCGTTGCAAAACTCACCACCACCATCTGAGTGGAGGCGCTTGACTTTGCGGTCAAAGGCGGTCTGTGCCTGTTTAACCCACGCCATGAGGACCTCTGGAACCGCAGCCTTAGTGTGGAGGAGGTGAACAGAGACATAGCGAGAGTGGTCATCGACGATAACAAGGAAGTAGCGATAACCACCTCGTGCTGGGACAGAGGCAGGGCCCCAGACGTCCAGGTGTACTAGGTCCAGTGGTCCTGCTGCGACAGAGGGTGAGGCCGGGTGGGGCTCTTGACGCAGTTTGCTCTTGGTGCAGTCAGGGCACGTGGGAGCGGGGGAGTCTGGTGGTGGAGGAAGTGAGGCTGGCAGGCCGAGTAGAAGTTTCTTGGAGGCCATGTCAGCAAGTGTGCGGAAGTTTGGGTGCCCGAGCCGATGGTGGTAGAGTATGGTCGGGTTGGAGAAACTGCGGCACGAGCATGGTGAGGTAGTCGCCGCTGTTTGGGTGGTTGACACCTGTGGGATGGGTACTTGCAGTGTGTAGAGGCCGCTGCTGTTAAGGGTGAAACGAGTCAAGACCTTGTTGGTGAGTGGGTTGAGGATGTCACCATAGTTCTCATTTTCCCAGAAGATGGTGCGTAGCCCAGCTTCCTGAATTTCCGTTTGGGCCACGAGATTGTGGCGGAGTGAAGGCACGCACATTCCAGTGACAGTGCCGGAGGGGAAGGCGGGGCACGGGACTGTGGATGAACCCTTGGCATGAGTGGTGAAGCTTGAGTCAGCTCCTAGGAGAGGGATGGGTGTTGCGTAGGGTTTGAAGGAGAGTGTCTCCTTGAGTACAGTGTGTGTGGCGCCGCTGTCGAGTGTGAACTCTATGTATTGTGGTGCTTGTGATGAGCCGAGGTACTGGGAGGAAGCTTCATTGATCATGGCAGTGCCAGGGAACAATAGGTTGATACGGACATCAGCAGGAGCACTATCACTAGCACTAGCACTAGCGGGGTCCTGGACCTCAACCAGGTTGGCCTTACGCGCACGCATCCAGTTCGGTGGCCTCTTGTCTCTGCCGTGGATGGCGTACCATTCGTCGTCCTTCTTCTTGAAGCACGTAGCAAGGGGGTGGTTAGTGCCACCACACACTTGTCCCTTGCGGTTGCCATACTTGACGACGTAGGTGCACGGAGGGAAGCGGTTGCGCTGGAGGGGCGCCGAGGCAAGGGCCGATGCGACACTGGCTTGAGGCATGGGAGCACGGATGGCGAAAGCCTTGGCTTGAGCCGTGGAGTCTTTCTCGGCAGAGAGGAGTGCGGTGGAGACCTTGGCACAAGTGAGGTCTTCCGCAGTTAGCGTGAGGAGCATCTTCCTTGTGATTTCGTAGGGTGTGGTGAGACCAACGAGAAGAGCTGCTGCAAGGGCCCGTTTGGGGAAGACTATACCCAGCTCCTTGAGTTCGCCATGAATGGTCTGAACCTTGGCAATGTAGCCGGCCATTCCCGAGCAATCCTCAAGGCGGACCTGGAACATGCTGGGAATGAGGATGGCAACTCCGACTGCAGTCTTGTTCATGAACCGATTTTGGATATACTTCCAGATGGCATTGGAGGTAGGGTAGTTATGGAACGTGTTGACAAGTTCTGGAGGGGTGGAGGCGATGAAGACGCTGATAATAGCAGCATCGGCCTTCTCCCACTTCCGGTACTTCTCAACAGCTTCCTCATATGCCAATGTGTCAGCCTCACTAGCGGATTCGGTCGGCTCACGAGGGGGAAGGGGCTGTTTTCCCTTGCCACGGTCGAGGAGGACATCCTTGAGGTCCAATCTCTGCACGTCACGACTCAGGAGGTGTTTGTCAACCCCATAGCTCCAAGCCTTGAAGTTGGAGCTAGAGCCATCGGCTTCAAGGCGCAGTGGGGTGATGGGGTTGGCCATGGTGGACGAGGTGAATGCCATAATGAAGACTCCTTGGTGTCTCGCGCGAAGCACCGCACTTAAGTCACCGATAGGAACGAGCGGCGCGCAGCGCGGCGATTTCGAAATCCGACGGATCCAAATAGGAAATATCGTCGATGTCGACCGTGTCGGGATGCCTCGTAGAAGCATTTTTCAGGCCGCCGAATTAGGTTAACTCGGCCGGTTTCCGTGAGACTAACCCTATTCCCACACACCCCCCCACACACCACCCTCAGCTTCGCGGCTACACGGCTGCTCAGCTTCACGGCTACGCTGCTGCACCTGTTCAGCTGCGAGGAAAGGGGGATGGGGGTAGAGGCGCAGATGCGGGGCGACGGGCGGCAGCCCGGAGGTGACGCTGCAGGGCGACGGGCGTCGGCCCGACGAGAAGCTGTAGGGCGACGGGCGACGGCCCGACGAGAAGCTGCGGGGCGACGGGCGGCGGCCCGACGAGAAGCTGCAGGGCGACGGGCGGCGGCCCGACGAGAAGCTGCGGGGCGACGGGCGGCGGCCCGACGAGAAGCTGCAGGGCGACGAGCGGCGGCCCGACGAGAAGCTGCGGGGCGACGGGCGGCGGCCCGACGAGAAGCTGCAGGGCGACGGGCGGCGGCCCGACGAGAAGCTGCGGGGCGACGGGCGGCGGCCCGACGAGAAGAAAAGATGACACGATGCGTTCGACGAAAAAAGGAGCGACATGTTAAGGCGCTGATAATGCGCTTACCAGAAATAAGGGTAGAAGTCGTCGAAATTGACGGGAAGGTGGTGCGGGAGAATTTCCGCCCACGAGTGTCGCGAATCAACGGCGACGAGATGGAAGGTGGCTACGCCGAGATTTGCGGGACAAGCATCCGCAAGATGAGAGGATCACGATCCGCGTGTGCGGTTGAAGAGCTCTGCTACCATGTCAAAACTTAGACTTAGAATTGATACATTAGTAATGAGCTTGAAGCTCTTTAAGTACATCCAAGAAGGGGATGGAATGGATGGGGAAGGGAATCGGGGGCAATCCCTAGGGATTGGGGGTAATCCCAAGGCAATCTCCAATTGGTGGGTTGGAGATTGCTTGGAGATTACATTTGGGTTTGGTTGGGATGTAGGTGTACACCCAACCAAACACAATGTGCAAACTACACTACTCTAGGATATAGAAAATACAAAGTACAAAGTGTGATATTGAAGGCTAACACTAACACCCACTGGGTAGACATGGGCAAAAGGCGAGACAAGTTATAGTCGCCTCATTTTTTGCCGACTTGTTTTGCGCAACAAGCAAGTATTACACGCTACGAGTAGTTTTTGCCCTCGCCCGATTCGCTACTCGTCGAAAAAAGAAGAGTATCATTTACTTGTTACAATCAGGTATAATACTCGCGGCAAGGTAAGTTATACTCGCCTTGTTAGGAACATTTCTAATGACACTCAAGTTAGCATAGGGAAATATTCAACCGCACCTTCCCTTGTAGTGATTCCCCAAGGAGAGTGTTCTAGCCAGGAAATGGTAGATTTTTTAGTGCGATTGCCATTCAGGAAACGTGTTGCAGCAGATAGGTGTGGGAGAGGTCTAGAATTTTCTCGAAGTCTAAGGGTGCAGAGATTGCTGAGTTGAGAAGCAATTGGTGGTTCAAAATTCTCCTCGTTTGAGTTGGCGACTTTTTGTTGCTCAGAAACACTTTTAGCAAAGAAACAAACCACCCACTAGCGGTTTTGAACCCCGCTGCCAAGTCATGGGGGGTTCATGTTGGGACGAGTAAAACTGAATTTGCAAGAATTTTGTTTCCCGTTATGATGATTTTACTCGTTCTTCAAAGCGAGTACAAAATGAGTACCCGTTTACTCGCGAGTAAAGTCCGCCTCGTCTTGGGCGAGCGATTTTGGCCTGGGTGCCGAGTCGTTACTCGCCCATAGCGAGCAAACTTAAAGAGATCAAACTTAAAACTCGACTCCTTGCACATGTCTATGCTCGGGGTCGAACCGAACCAGAACAGGCTTGGGTCGAACCGCCTTAGGAGCACTTCCTCCGTTACCTAGCCCGTTTGGGTTACAACGAAGTTGCTTCGTTTCCGCTCAAACTGGACGCGGTTCGAGACGATAATGACCATGTATTTTACATTGTGCACCAAGTATGTCCCAATGGGTAGTTCCTCATCTTTAGTCCAAATGTTTTAGGGTTCAACTCCCAGCATCTGCACTTCTCCCATTTATGTTATGCTCACCGTGACATATTCATACCCCTCCAAACTTATCCACAATGAAGTGTGATCGTAGTTGGCATTAGGAACGAGCAAAGGGCGAACTCGAACATGTTCGCGTTTGCCCCTGGACGAACATGGCCGTTTTGCGAACCGAACATTGTTCGGTTCGCCGAACGACTTCCCCAAAAAAGGGTGTTCGGCGTTCGCCTGTGAAGACGTGTTCAGGCGAACCTCGAACACGTTCGTGTTCGACACGGGGCGTTCTGCAGCAGCGCCACGAACACGAACATGTTCGGCCGAACCTCGAACTGTGTTCGGCGAACAATTTAAGCTCGTTCGAGGCGAACCGGTCAGGTGTTCGGTTCTTTGCTCATCCCTAGTTGGCATTGCTACCTGTCCACTCATACCATGCTCGCCTTGCTGGCCCCTATGGTTTGCCATATGCAGCCATGTAGCTGCTATTCCAACTTGCCCACATGTGCAACATAGGGCTTCACTTCCTAAGTTAGCAAGGTTGGCTAGCATTGGCCTCAACTCTGAGGTGCTGCAGCTAGCCTCAAGAGTTCAGCCATATTTACATGGACAAGGGCATTGCTCTAGCCTCTAAGACTTGTACCACCTTTCTCCCAAGGATATAATTTCTTCTTCTCATTGTGCCTTGAAGTTCAATGATCTATTATTCAAATTTTAGAAAAATGAGAAAAAAGCCACGTATACAAAATTTGACTAGATTTCCTGTTGGTGATGAGATCGAACCAAACTAATTGGAGCCGAACCAGAAGAGGTTTGACTGAACTCTTTCATTCGTTCGGCCAGATCTCTGGCCGGTTCGTTTCAAACTAGTTGGGGTTAAAAAAGGTAATTACGGATACTTGCTCATGCCCAAGCCCTACTTACAAGTGAACATTTGAGCAATTATTTGCTATGCCTCCGCTCTGCTGCTTCCCTTTTCTACCACAGGGACCTTTCGAGGAACCAGCTTTTAGGAAAAATTCCTTCTAGTGTTGGTGCTCTCGCTCAACTCACTCTCGTGTAAGTCGCACATAACTTCCTATGCAATATAAGCCCACATGTAGCTCACCATATTTGCCAAGTACACTGGTATGTTTTTTCAGTTGCTAGGTAGGTATAACAACACAATACAATGAAGAGCGTACCTAAACCCTGTTTGCTTCGACCCAAACTTGTTCGTACACATCATCCACGTCCATGTCCGCCATACTGGAAGCTTCCCACACAATTCCACCATACCTTGCATTACGGACGAGATACAGGAAAGTCAAACATGTTCGAATTAAACCGAACAGAGCTTTGCTGTAATGATCATCCCTATCCAGAAGGGTCGCATCGGGAGAAGAAAACGCCAAATTGGAGATTTGGAATGAACATGCACATTTTCGACTCCCTTCATAAACATTCATGAATTGCAAACTCTCGTGCCGGGGTGCTCATGCCTAGCTGCTGCTGGGCAGTGTGCTTGTGGCACCCCCAAAGTGAAACACCCGCCTGCATAGTTGGATCTTACGCGTACGTTTTACTCCCTTGGCACCCCTCGCTTTGCTGACCAATGGCGGGCTGCGGTAACCGGCCTGGAGGTGTAATGGGGACGTTTGGTCTTAGGAGAGGCACACCACCGGTAGCCGTGACGCCAGAGGAAAGTCTGCGAGGGCCGCGACAATGACCTGCTTGTCTGTTGATGCTGTTGAAAGTCTAGATGATGAGGCAGTCCGGATGGGTGTTAATATAGGCGCGCGCTGCATGCTTCGCCTCCGCCTGCGACTGCCACACCATGTTGCAGAGGTAGGAAGAAGGTCCTAACTGCGTCGGCTATTTCTGTGAGCGCCATTCTAGCTGCCAAAACATCTATGCTCTTGTCGATTGCGACTGGTGGTGGCCCCCCATCAAGCTTCGTTAGCGGTATTAACCGAAAAGACATGGTAAATCAGGTGCTGCTCGCTGGAGCTCGCTTGTTTACATCGTGTTTGTAAGCGCATGCAGGTGAGTACGCACTGTTGCGTTTGTCAGTTCAGCATCTCGCAAATGCTTGTAGGCTGTTCCAGACGGGCTTTCTCCGATCCTGTTCTCGCAAGGAAAAAGTGTTGGGCGCAAATATTTATTCTTGCACGTCAACCAGCCGCCTGCGTTGCATTTCGTATACAGTATGTGTGTGTGTGTGCATTCTTCTTTTTCATATTGTGCATGTTCTGTGCGCATTCGTTTTTGCATTTTGTTCCATGTGTTTTTGTTTGTTGTGGTTTCGTGATTAGTCATGGCGGGTCATGACGAGTCATGAACGCTCATGTCCGCTTATGTACGTTCATGTATTTTCATGAACGAATATATTGTCAGAACATTATAGCTTACGCTGTTGTGTAGGCTATAGTGGGGTATCCCATAGGGGGTACAACCCAATTAGGGTTTCATATTTGTACTCACTTTATTCATAGTTCATTTTCATTCTCGTTCAAATCTTCTCATGGTATCGAGCAGGTTCCCCTGTGGGAACTGCGCCTAGGGCCCACCACTTCGAGTTTTTTTTTACTGCCCGAAGCACACTCATCCCGAGTTGCGCTTCGGGCTATTCACTTACCGAGCCGCCCTAACGGCCTTCTCTCCCCTAGCGGCCGTGCCGCCCTACGCTTTGCGGCCCTGCCGCCCTGCAATTCGCGGCCCCGCCGCCCTTCCTTTGCGGCCCCGCCGCCCTGCACTTCGCGGCCCTGCCGCCCTACGCTTCGCGGCCCCGCCGCCCTGCACTTCGTGGCCCCGCCGCCCTTCCTTTGCGGCCCCGCCGCCCTCTGCTAAGCGGCCCCGCCGCCCTACTTTGACGGCCCCGCCGCCCTGCTTCGACGGCCCCGCCGCCCAGCTTCGACGGCCCCGCCGCCCTGCTTCGACGGCCCCGCCACCGTGCTTCGACGGCCCCGCCGCCCTGCATCGACGGCCCCGCCGCCCTGCTTCGACGGCCCCGCCGCCCTGCTTCGACGGCCCCGCCGCCCTGCTTCGACGGCCCCGCCGCCCTGCTTCGACGGCCCCGCCGCCCTGCTTCGACGGCCCCGCCGCCCTGCACCTAGCGGCTTCGCCGCCCTGCACTTCGCGGCCCCGCCGCCTCTCCTTAGCGGCCCCGCCGCCCTTCCTTAGCGGCCCCACCGCCCTCTACTAAGCGGCCCCGCCGCCCTTCCTTTACGGCCCCGCCGCCCTGCACTTCGCGGCACTGCCGCCCTCTGCTAAGCGGCCCCGCCGCTCTCCTCCTCTGCCGCGCCACCCGAGCCGTCGCCCACTGCACCACCCTGCAGCGTGCACCCGAGCAGCCGCCCGCCGCGCCACCGAGTACCGGAGGAGCCGAGCCGCCTAGCCGCCGTGCAGCCGAGCCGCCCAGCAGCCGGGCCACCCAGCCGCCGAGCCGCCGAGCCGCCCAGCCGCCGAGCCGCCGAGCAGCCCAGCCGCCAAGCCGCCCCGCAGCCGACCCGCCGAGCCG